AAATCAGAAATGCATTCACGAAGGACTGAATAAAACCGAAGTGAAAAGGGCGAAGGAGTGGTTTGTGTTTATTTTTAGTTTCACACAGATAGGGCATCTCCCCGGCGACAGGGTGACGGGTCGGCGCGCGGGTCTGGTTGCGTATCCTTGGGGCCCTCCTGGAGGCGGGCGCCCCGCGAGCAGGTCACTGCCCCCCGCTGGCCGCCGGCGCGCCGCCGTCACGCTAATCCCCGCCCCCGCCCTGCCCCGCCCCGCCCGGTGAGGTGAGATGTGACCTCCCCGGTCCGGCCGGCCTGGCCTGGCCACTCTCATTTTCGTACGCCCCTTTCCGCGTCCTGTTGTCTCCACGCGCGTTGACAGCGGCGACGCACACGCCGACGGTAAAAGAAAAAAAAATGAAATTCGTGACCACAAACTGCTGTTCGTCGAGCCGAGCAGCACGCATGTTCAGCAGCACCCCGGATCCACCCAGCCCAAGCCCCTGCAAAGACGCGGGTAGGCAACCACCACGCACCGGTGCATCGCACAGGTCGCGTTGCCTACCCGACAGGCGCTTCTTGTGCTACGTCTGCCAACCTCAGCCCCTGCGGCCTCTGCAAAGTCAGCAATAGGCAACCGCCACGCACCGGCACAGAACGGGGCGCGTTTTCTATCCGACAGGCGCTTCTTCTGCTCTTGCCAGCCTCAGCCCCTGCAAAGTCAGAGGTGGGCAACCGCCACGCACCGGTGCATCGCACAGGTCGCGTTGCCTACCCGACAGGCGCTCCCTGTGCTCTGTCGGTGAGAGTGCTCTTAACGGTAATATATATCACAATTATACTACCACCACCAGCTAATTTTCTTAAGTAGTTGAGCCAATACTTTTACCCGTTGTTGATTGAGAAATTTTTATTTCGGCTTCATTTCCCAAGAACGGTAACGGTCGTCGATACTTAAACTAAAAAGCGGCAGGCCCAGGTGGAACCGTCCCCACACGGTGTGTGACGTGATCCCCGACTCACGGACACGATAGCTGCCTTCTCCGCAACGACCTCCCTGCGATGTCCGACTATCGGAGGGGAAACCTTACACACAGGTCTCGTTGTCCGCGCGGCAAAATTTCATTCTCGCGACATTGTCGGCTCCAGAGACCACAAGCTGTGCCAGTGCCAGTGCGCTCGCATCCGGGGTGGTCACTCACTTTTGTACGTTTGGAGGGAGTGGGAAGGGGACATGCAACCCTCCCCCCCCCTCTCTCTCTCCCTCCCTCTCTCTCCGCCACCGGTGTGTATTATGCGCGCAGGATGGCCCCGGGGTGTCCCGGACACAGCTTGACTGTTGCCCCGCGCGCCGCGTACGTGGAGATGAATATGGAGATGGAGCAGGACGGACAGCAAACGCCGCACGAGCGAAATAGAGCGCTCTGCTGCAACGGCGGTAGCGTGTGGCTGTTTCCGGTATTATTAGCAAACGTTCTTTGACGTCCCAACAAAAATGTTCGCTCCAGCAGTTAAGTAAACAAGCACACACACACAAAAACTCTCCTCCTGAGCGAAGTTGCAGGTGACATCAATGAAGTAATTAAAAGGAACGAAATATTTTGATGCTGGTGCAAAAAACATATTGATTTACAAAAGTAAAACAGCTAAACCATGAAACAACCGGCGCATTCGGCATGAAAAAGTTTGGCGCTGCCAGCTGCTTATTGGCGGAACTCAGCTGGACACTCTGCTGGACCAGAGGGAAAAAGGGGGGGGGGGCGAGCTGCTGGCTGATCGCGTCCACTGCCGTCCACTCAGCTCAGCGCCGCCACCGAGAAAGCGAAAAGGGTTTGCATCCCATCGAGTGTCGCATCACATCACCTTAAGTAGATAATTGGTCCCACCCGACCGGCCAGAGAAAAGTGCGATGATTGGTCGACGACATTTCCCCCGAGCAGGAGGAGGAAGGGGAGAAAAATAAGAAGATATGGGTCTATAATGAGGGTCCGCGGCTGCCGTGCCACGCGCGATTGGAGCCGAGCGCTGGCGTGGCGTGGCGTGGCGCCGTAATCGCACCTGCACGCTGTGCTGGGTCGCATCGCACCGCACGGCGCGCTTACGCTTTACGAGTGTATGTGAGAGACGGAAAGGCAGAAAGAGAGAGAAATGCCTGCTTCGCGTCTTCAGGATCTTCCAGAGAGTACACGTCACGTCCGCCGTTCGCCGCGACGAACCTGCCGAGCCCAGCCTGTGCGAGCGCTCCTAGCGCCGGGTAGGTAGGCAACATATCGCAAGCAAGGGCATGCGTGTCCTGCGGGGTGGCCTACCGCGGGTCGCGCAGGCGCCCGGGCTCCCGTTAATCTGGCGAGTGAATCAGTGAAAAACGGACGTACTTTCTGGGCGATCCCTTTTCCATGATACCTGCCCCCGACGAAATATTTCCAGCAGTATTTATGTCACGATTGCCTCCTTTGTGTTGGGCTTTCGGCTTACCATTATTAGGAGGGTAGTGTTGTTCCTACTATTGGCGGTCCTCCCGCTCGGGTCGTGGTCGTCATCCTGCTCCGCGGGAAGGTTCCGCGCGCGCCGTGTCCTCGCCGTCCTCTCCATCACCTTCCTCGTGCTCCGAGCTGTAAGGTCTCTTTCGCCGTCCCTCGTTACAACTTCCCCTTTTGCTCTTACACACTCGCCATGTCCTGCCCCTTCCCTTCCCTTCTCTCTCTCTATCCACCGGACCTCCTCGTCGTCGTCGTCCTCTCCATCATCTTTTCTCCTCGCTCCGCGATATCCTGGCGCCGCCGCGGCCGCCGCCGGGCTCCTGGGAAAAGGGCCGGCCTGACCTTTGCCGCATGATACACACTGGACACTGGGCAGCAGTGGGACGGGGCGTGCTTTGCGTAGAGTACTCGTCGTAGAGGACGGCAGCGGCGCTTTCTCCGGGGGCCGAGGCCCGCGCTGCCCCGCCCAGCCGCTGCCGGACTGTCGGCCCTGGCCTTTTGTCGCAGCAGTGTAGCTTGAACAGTGCATGTACGGCGCCCTGCCGTCTCGCCCCGTCTCTCTCTTGCTCGGCCTGTCTCTGCGCTCAAGTTGAGGTGAGGTAAGGGTGGCCCGGCCCAGGCGGGCAACACGTTGAGAAGCTGGTCAGCAGCGCAATACCTGGAAACAGGGAGGGAACCAGTCCACATAGTAAAATAAACTCGTGCACGCCACACCGCCGCAAGCACGGAGCACGGGAGGGGCAGCGGCCAGCCGTCCGTGTAATACACATTACTCATTTCATTTCCCTGCAAATGCTCCAGGAGGGAGCCGGGTGGAGCTGCAAGGCGCCGGGCCGGCCACCGGCTGTGGCGGTGAATGGGCCGACTGGGGACGCTCCAGGAGGCATATGGCTCCAGCTCCATGGCGCATGGCTCCTGCTCCCAGAGGCACGGCTCCTGCTCCAGGAGGCACGCTTCAGCTGCAGCAGGCACGGCTTGGGGTTCAGGAGGAACGCCTCCAGCTCCAGGAGGAACGGCTCCTGCTCGAGGAGGCACGGCTTCAGCTCCAGGAGGCACGGCTCGGGCTTCAGGAGGAACGGCTCCAGCTCCAGGAGGCACGGCTTCAGCTCCAGGAGGCACGGCTACGACACGGCTCCAGGAGCATGGCACCGGCTGGCTCCACGAGTCCTCTAGCCCCCAGTGGCACCTGTTCCATGATCCAGTTACAGGAGCCCCGAGAGCTCCGGGTGGCTCCGGGCGCTGCTGGAGGGACCAGCTCCAGGAGACTCCAGCGGCTGGGCCGGACCGGGCCCCCGCTGCCGCCGCCGCTATCGCGATGAACGGGCCGATTTGGGACGCTCCGGGACGCTCGGCTGCAGGGCACCTCTTCCCTGCTCTTCCCACACGGACAATGAGCGGAGAGCAGCACCGGTTGCACAACCGCGGCCTGTTCCTGTTTTGGCGCGTTTTGCTCCTGATCCTCTTTGCACATGCGCATGGAGCGTGGCGTGGCGAGTCTCATCCATGGAAATGCTGCTACATCCCCTCGGTGGTTTCACCACATCGAGCGCCCCCTACCCCTCCTACCTAGACCGGCCCCCGCGCCGGCCGTCGTCCGGCCCGCGTTGGGACACGACGGCGACGCCGGGAGCAGGGAAGTCGCATACGCGGCGATGCGTGCCTTGGATCGTGCAAAAACCACGTCACCTTCGGGTAAGTGGAGGTCATTTGGATGTTACAGGATTTTCCAAAGGTTCAGGACGGTCATCGGAGTCCAGGGGGGCCACATGACATTTGAACACCGGGCTTAAAAACATCTCTGGGCCCGTATGGACTCCAATGGCCGCCCTGGACCTTTTGGGACTATACCAACAGGTGACTAACCTTCGGGGCGCCCTCTCTGGCTCTCAAAGCTGAAGTCGGGTTCCGATCCCCGAACGAGCAGCGCGAGGAGGAGGGCCCCGGGAGGGCCCCCAACCTGAGTGAGTCTACGACAGCGTGTGCGATGGGTGGCCTACCCGCACTCCACGGGCGGCGGGAGGACAGGGCCGCCTGAGACACGGGCAACCCATCGTGCACCCGCGATGAAGCGACACAGCTGATCCTGTGCGACCGAGACCGCGCCGCGCGGGAGCGGGAGAACATCCATCGAGCACCAAAGAAAAGTATTCCTGTGCAAACGCATTCGCACGGATTTAAACAAGCGTGGCAAGGACACATTTTACAACAGAGGTAAACAAATGGATCAGTAGGAAATATAAATGTGAAGGTTCCTCCATTCTGTACAAAATAGTAACTATGCTCACACTTGAGTGTCCGGCTGGCACTGTTGTCTTCACGGCCACACACTCAATGTCCACGGCCGTGTTAGGCCACGCCGTGCCCTGCGTCCTCGTGCGTGCGTATAGCAAGTGTCCCTCGCCACTTTCACTGCTAACGGTGCCGGCTATGCCAGAGACCCCCTTCCCCTCTCTTGGTCTTCCCCTCATTGCTCACACTCAACAAGACCACAGAGGCAATGTAAGCAGAGGAAACTGGCTCCACCAGTTATTGAAAAATATCATTGTTATTCACAGGCATATTTATTTACTTTTAACATAGTATCAACAGATTGTATGTACAACACAAAAGAACTGGAGCCCCTCAAAGCCTAAGAGACTACTAGGACTGAAATTTGTTTACTTGGTTGAGACTCGGGTACGCTTGTTCCACGAGAAGTTGACGCCATAGTTCTTCACTTTGGGTTTAGTTTCCTTAGGTACCTCTATGAACCATTGCCATCCATTCTTCTCACAGAATTCAATTGCTTCAGCCTCAGAGGCGAATGAAACTTTCAAGTTGGACAGAGGATCGGCTCTAAATTAATAGGAAAACATGAATAAGTTTTGCAGAACAGACAACAGACCGTATTCAACAAATTCATTATTGCAATTTTACACATTACTGGCATGTTTAAAGAAGATAAAACCATTAAAATTGCACTTACGTAGAAGACCAACCCATTAGGGGATTTTCCCATCTCTCACGACTTTCGAATTCCATTTCCCAGTGATGAGTGTTAGCGGAACCGGACTGCATTGAATTACGAGCTGGTTTGCAGATTCGGACAAGTCTGTTCTTGATGTGTTCTTCAGGTACGCCAGATATAACACCGACATCCTCCTATAACGTATGCAACATTTATCAAGGATCTCGATAACCAAAAATGTAATCATCAAACAATATTGAACAAATATCATACCACTCCGGTAACAGAAATTGTCACTCCACTCTGGTGAGGGTGTGTCTGCGTCATTGAATCTACTGGGACCAAAGGAGCCTCGCGTTTCTTCAGCTCATCATCAATTTTGTCACTGTGTACTGCTCCCACACTAAAAGGAGCAGCTGGTTGTCTGCTCACCCTAAAAAATGAAAATAAAGAAATTTTAGTCCGAAACTACCAATACATCAACATTACAATGCTATTAAACAAATATTAAGTCACAGGAAGTCTTGCACATATATGAATGAATTCACATCCCACAAGATTGTAGTAAAAGAAGAAACGTACAGTTCTTGAAAAGAGAAGAAGTTATTAAATCTAAACTATAAAGTTGACAAGTGGCCCCAAAGTCAAGCAGTGGAGGTTAAGCATTCAAATGCATACGAATACAATCGGTCTATTGAGTAAGACATATTCATAGTTTCTGAAGAAAATTGAAGGCACACGAAATAGGGAAGTATAACAACACGTCACTTACTTTGAAGCATTTCTCAAAAACTTTAAAGAAGTCTGTGATAAAATTCGGGAAGCCATTTTGCTATTTTGCTTTCCCAAATGGGCGAATGTGAATATGAGTTTTGAGCCCTGTGTAACAGAAACACGCTTATATCAATTTCTCATCAAACAGTTGCGCCCCGTGACACCGCGAAGAAGTTTAAATTTAAAAACTTGAAGAAATTGAGTATGGCGAAACGTGCTGTTTGTTTACATCTTGAAAGATTTCCTTAACTGCATTGCAAAAGCAAGAATTTCTTCTTAAATTTTGTCCTCAAATGGTTAAAGGCGGATATAAAACGTAACCGTTACGTATTCTCTACTAGTAAGGTAGGGACGATTTGGAGAATACATGGTTGTGTTCTAACCCTTACACAACAATCCAAAGTCTGCAAGTCTTGAGTGGTCTTGAGAGGGGGCGCCCCCCTTAAGCAAAAGTAGATCCGTATTATTTCATTTCGTTTAAAACTTTTAATGAAATTTTGTTTTCTTTGTTTAAGTATATGATCTAATGGTCTTCTCTCCTTGATCAGTTGAAAGCTAGTTGAAAGCAAACTGTCAAAATGGATTTGAATCCAGACAGGCTGCAAGTCATAGACTTGGCCAACAAAGCTTTCGGTGAATCTGGGTGGAGTTTTGGTATATCAAGTGTTGCCTTGGGTAAGTAGGTTCTGAGGTAGAAATAAATTTTTAGTTCAGAGCGGCGACGCCGGGAGCAGGGAAGTCGCATACGCGGCGATGCGTGCCTTGGATCGTGCAAAAACCACGTCACCTTCGGGTAAGTGGAGGTCATTTGGATGTTACAGGATTTTCCAAAGGTTCAGGACGGTCATCGGAGTCCAGGGGGGCCACATGACATTTGAACACCGGGCTTAA